ATATATATATATATATATATATATATATATATATATATATATATATAATATATATAATTTTCTGTCTTTTATTCTGTTTTACCATTTTAAACCAATAAAAAGGAAAGATGTTTGCCTGATACCTTGTGATGTTTACTTGTGTTGCCTGAACTTCAGCAAGTTTAATATATTCAATAAGGAAGTGTTTTTTTATTTTATTTTATTTTTTTCATTTATGAAACATCATACAGTACTTGGTCTTAGTGTCTGTTTCATTTTGTAGAGTTTTCTTATTTTTTTATATATTTATTTTAACTTTTAAAAACCTCAGTAGGAATTGGTTTTAATGTCCGTATGGTAAGATAGTTGGAATTAACATTAAAAAAGGCATGTTTTGAACAGGTATCAGTAACTCTTACTTCACATTCATCATCTCCAGCACAGTGCAACCATTTTACTTATTTGATATTATACTGGTAAGGTCTGCCACCTTCTCATACTTAGCACCTCGTAACTGTCTGTTTTCCAGAGCGCTACCGTATCCAGAGCGACAGTTTTGAGGACATGTGGTTGGTGGTGAAGGAACTTTGTCAAAGGTTTGATCAGCATTTCTCCAAGCTGGGAATCAAAGACTTCAAAAAGAGTTATAGCGGTTCCCTCCCCCTTCAGGAGTACTTCCTGTCTGTAGACAATCACTTTCAGGTACAAACACAGTCGAACCCTTGATGTTTAGAGGTTAAACAAAAATAATCTCATTGTCGGTAGATACAGTATCCGTTCACATTTTTTGTCAAATGTAATGTAAATTCATTATCCTGAAGTGAAGCATTTGTTTATTTATGTGTGTTCAGAGGCGAGTCAGTGCTCAGCAGTATCAGGATTTGCTGTCTGAGCGTGCAGTCCAGTTCAGAGCTATCCAGCGCCGCCTCCTGACTCGATTTAAAGACAAGACCCCGGCACCTCTACAGAACCTGGACACACTCCTGGACGCCACGTACACCCAGGTCAGTGACACACAAAAAGAGATTTAGAGAAATACCTCCACGTGAACTGGAAGAGAGGTGTGGTAGTTTACGGTACTGAATGATTAGGTTGCCTTTGAGAAAACATTGACACAGATTAGGAACAGTGTTGCCAGATCTTGCGATAGAAACAAGCAACCAACTCTATGAAAACAAGCCCAAAAAAGCCCTACTGGCAAACCACGACGTTGTGTAAAACAGAGGCCATTTTTAAACAGTATAAACATACATTTATTATGTCATTACTCATAAACAACAGCAAAATTATGATAAACACTTTGAATAACATACTTCAAAGCTCTGATAAAAAATACATTTTGCATATGTAACAAATATGCAAATCATATTTTTTCTACGTATTTAAAAAAAAAAACACCCTGACATCTGCGTGTGAGTGGAGCCCCCTAGTGGTTGGCCACAGTATGAGTGTTTTAGTGTGCGCCTGCACCTCGCCAACTTGGACAGGAGTGATAAACAGAAAACGGGGGCGTGGAAGGGACAAACTACCTACTACCACTTGTCTTTTGCTTTATTGTGCGGAGCTGAGAGATAATCAACTAGTTTCACTCGGAAAGAAAGTCAAGCCCAAATAAGCGACTTCGCGTTCAAATACAAGCCCAAAAAACGCAACCCGCGACTCACTCCCCTCATGAAGGAGGTTGAGAAGCATTAAGTGTAGAACCACTAGACTGAGGAACAGCTTCTACCCTGAGGCTGTTAGACTCATGAATCGCTAACCAGGATAATCAATGTGAAAAAAATCACATCATGTTGCTGCTGATCTGTTTCATGTTGCTGCTGATCTGTTTCAATGTTGATGTGTTCATGCATGCACATCTGCTCACAGACTCATGTTCATGTTTGTGCTGATGTTCGACGTAATGTTTTTATGTTATTAGTGCTTAGTGTATATTTAGTTGATGTTTTTCTTAGTTCATATCTTAGATGTTATTACTGTTTTTCTTTTACATTTTATTGTTGGATGTAACTGGGACCCTGTGTACATAATTTCGCTCCACCACATGTACCACATGAGGTGCGAATGACAATAAAGAAACTCTGACTCTGACAAGATTTGCAAGCAACTTTAGAAAAAAACAAGCCCAAAGTCACTTATACTAAGCGGACTTGACAACACTGATTAGGAACATAAACCCCACGATAAGACCATATTCTACATATAAACAAACAACAGCTAGACAAAGATTGAAAAAGATTAAAGATGACTATCCAGCTTATTGAACTTTTGTTGTTTTTATCTAATTCTGGATTTTGTATTGTGTAAATTTTACACGGACATAGGCACAATTGTATTTAAACGCATACCTTTAATATCACAGAGTATGAGAAACTGTACTGATGCAAATGTATCAGTAAAAAAAAAAAACGTGTCTGTTTAAATGTATACACTATATGTGTGTCTGAGTGTTATCTCACAGCTGGTCACGTACGTAGAGGAAGTCCATAAACCTTCTCACTGTAAATCCATGCTGACGCATCATCACTGTGTGCCTGTGTATGTGCATCTGCATTTAAGAGGAACAATTTTGGTTTTAGATCTTATAACTGTGGACATTTAACGAACTTATGAGGATATTTTGTAGAGTCTTCACTTTAGCTTTTTCTACACAACACTTTGAAGCCAGACCTGTGACACCTTTTACCTGCATCTGGGTAACGTGTAATAGCTAAAGCAGAGAAGGGACTGAAGTTGATTCTTCTGAGTTGGCAACAGAAGTAGCCACAGAGCTGAGTAGATGAGTATGTGTTGTTACAGCCCCAAGCCTCTTCTCTTGGCTTCTGTGTGTCCAAGCGTGCGTGTCTGAGCATATTGTATGTGTTCCAGCCATGTACCCAGGTGATTAGTGTTTATTAGTATTGGATGCAGCTGGCTCCACCTCCTTTCTGGTAGTTTCTCTCTCTTATGTCTCGCATAGCTATATAGAATGTCAACAAGGAAGAGGGCCAGCAATGGAGGAGGGCCGTACCAAAGAGACCATCTTATCACATGCAGAACTGGTTTGTTCCACTTTGGAGTAAGTTGTTGGGGCAAGAATCAGTTTTGTTGTGTGTTTCCTTGACTGATGAAGCCTTACGGACCGAAGGCAAAACGTTTCAGCACAAAAAAAAAAAAAAAAGAAACTGTCCAGATGTCCTGACTGAAAAATGTTGGATTTTTTTTTACCTTTTACCTTATTGAGCATGGACTTTGTTCAATTCCATACAGTTTATTTATATAGCGCCATGTCACAACAAAATTGTCTCAGGGCACTTTACAGGAACATTCGCATACATAGAAAAGTCAATTAGTAAAGTTCTCTATCTAAGGAATTCAGCAGACTCAAATCTTCACTTCGTCGCAGTCTCCCATCCTGAGTTCCGAGAGGAGTCCGATAACTGAAAGATCTGCTTCCCATTCTGCTTTTGGAAACTCGAGGAGCCGCAAGTAAACCTACAGTCTGAGAGCGAAGTGCTCTGTTAGGAAAATATGGAACAATCAAATCTGTAATATAAGATGGAACTTTATGTTTTTATGTTTCAGTTTTTCTTTGTGCTTCTGTTTCGGAAAGTTCAAGTTTTGTTAAATATTTTTAGATTAGTCCATTGCATGTTTTTATTAATTTGTTACAGTTTCAGAAACAGGCCATATAAGTATGGGGGACAGCATGTGTAGTACCAGTACTTAACTCACACCAACAATACTTAAGAGGGAATGTCTTTACTGTATTTACATAGCACCTTTTTATCTAATCAATATATTAAAAACACTTTACAACACAGTTTGTGTCCTCATTTACCTCCACACACACTTTCATACAGCACTCTACTATATATCTACAAAGCTAATCTGAATCTGTAGAGACTAATCAGTGCTTTATCACATTCATACACCAATGGGACACACATCGGAGGCAGTGAGGGGTTCACTGTCTTGCCCAGGGACACTTCAGCATGCGACTGCTGGTGGAATTGAATCCCCATCTCTCCCATTGGAGGACGGCTGCTCTAACCACTCAGCCACAGCTGCCCCAATATGTCTTTGTGGACATATTGTTGAAAGGATACTTCAAAACTTCAATTACAATTCAATGTCTGTGTTCAGACATTTCATATTGAGGTAAATTTAGGTTTAGATAAAGATAATGGTTTTATTCAATGTTTAGTTGTAGTGGGCAACATTTTTATTCCACTGTTATTGTTGCTTAATATTGTATTGACTATAGCAGTTGTGGTAAACCCACGTTTTCCTCACTGCTCTTATTTTCTGTCACTTTTATCTAAACTGGTTGTGGGCATCAAGGCCAGTAAGAGCCTGTTGGATTGACAAAGTATATTATCGTCATGCAGAACATCAGTGCATTGCATTGCATTTGACGGTATTCTGATTTATTTCAGTCCAAGCAGTCTTTTTTACTATACTTTACAATTTTGATATTGAGCTGGGTGATATTCTGATTATAGTAATATTTTGATACACAGTATCGTGCAACTTAAGAGGTTAAGTTAGAGTGACGTCTCAGTGATTGCACTCAACAGTCTGCAGGCATAAATGCATATTGCTTTGATTGTAGATGAGCTCAGGACACAACATTTATAATCAAAGCAGCAGTGCAGCTTTGATTCTTCCCTTTGTTAAACTTTGAAGTTTATCAGGGTGGAGATGTTGTAGCGTCACTGTATAAGTGAGAAGTGATGGTTGGTTGGTTGGTTGCCCTGGCTGTTTTCTCTAGAGGCTAAACTGGCAACCTTCTCTTCCACGCTTCATTAGCTTCTCACAAACATAGCACGGCTGCGTGACATCATCTTTTCATTTGCTGTTAAAGCTGTCAGCACGTCACTGTTGTACTCCGAGTGATCTGAAACTCTCTCTTTTCAACACAGCGCCTTAGTATTGTGTTAATTTAATGCAAATTAATTTTACAGGATTTTGAGACTTTGTTGGAGCTTAATGAGAAATAAATTAGGTTGTTGAAGTTCTAATAGCAAGCAAAATCAAATAAACAGTTTTCACCTGAAGTTGAACAGATTTTTGCCAAGAGAAGCAATCAAAGTGATTGTTCTAAAATATGTCTGTGTACATGTTAATATAACAATCCTTTTTGATGTCTTCTACTCAAACAGTTCATTCAACAGTACTTATAGTGACAATGTATAATCAGTAGTGCTGTTGTGTGGAAAGTATGCAAATAAATAAAGTGACCAGTCAACAAATAAGTTTTGTGGATTTAATGAAACTTTAGGATTTAATGAGAGCCTACAATGCCATGTCCATATTTGTAGCAAGAGCAATAAAAATAGTTTTCTTCTGGTTTATGACATCATTGGTATAAATGTTTTCATGCAGGGGCAACTGATTGAGCTTTCCAAAGCCCGACTAATGACACAAAAATATTCTTATATCCCAGATGAGTTCATAATGTTCAGCAGCTTCAAGTGTGAGAGGAACATAGCAGGAATATTGGAATTTTAGTGTTCTGTTTTTTTCTGAGACAAGACTGCAAGAACATCCTCTGGACTAGGGGTGGGCAATATGGCTCAAATATGATATTGTGATATTTCAGAGCATTCTGACAACAGCAATAAATTGTGTGATATAACAAAAAAAACAAACATAAATCATAGTTATTCGTTTGACAAAATTTACTTAACATGTTGCTTTGCAGTATTATATAAAACTACAAAAAACAAAAGGGATTAATTTTACTGAAATTACTTTATTTAGTAAAGTATTCAGTCTCGGAGTATAAAAATAAAAAAAATAAAATGACCCTTCTGTTGTTTAGATCGAAAAAGTCTGCACAAAATGTAGATCAACAAAATCCACCACAAAAACTAAAGTGCAGGTGCAGTTCCCAAAAACAAACTAAATAAAATGAAGCTTAAGATCTGTTGAGCATAAATTTAACAACAAAATATATGTTGCCTTTAAATGAGCTATAACTTCCAAAGCTTGTGACAAGGCGTCCAGCTGACCATGAAGC